TATGTATTCTGTATTTCAGTGTTGATACTTTGCGTTTATTTGCATAAACTCAAAGGCACCACTTCTTAAAAGCACATTTCTTAGAAGTGTAAAATGGAGTCTATGAAGCTAAAGGCGTAAGTTAGTCTTCTGAAAGTTAAGAAAGTCATATAAGTTTGCCTGTTTGACTAGAAGTCATACAAGTTTGCATGTTTGACTGTGTTTGACTGTCTGCTGTGCTGTGTGAAGTGAGATAAGAATGTAGTTTCATAATGTTTAGTACATTGTTAGAAATTTAATATGAAGTTTGGGTGTAGAATATTAGACGTTTTTAAGCAAATCTGTGTCAATATTAAGAGTATATTGCAAAATATAGAATAAAGTTTGTAAAGCTAGAGTTTAGAACGTCAGAAGTGTTAAGAAAGTTTGTCTCAGTGTTAAGAGCGTGTTGCTAGGCATACAGAATGAAGCTGAGGAAGAGAAAGGTTTACAGTGTTAGGAGTAAGCAGGCCAAGTGTGTGTCAGATAAGACATTGCCAGGACACATCTGTTTCGAACATCCTTAGCCTGAGCTGTATCAGGCCCAGAGACTAAATGTTAAGTTAAAAAAAACGGGAAGGGGAAAGTGTTCCAACCTCATAACCTCAGGTCCCAACTGTCTTCACATTATTATGACCACATGACCTTCAAGAAAACAACCCAGTGGGCATGGTTTTAAAAATTGCCATATCAGGGCCCAGAAAATGAATGCATTAATCAGAAATGGTAAAAATTAAGTCTTGAAATGAAACATCTCCATTTTCATTGGCCTCTGTTTCAGAGAGAAACCCTCCAGGATAGCAGCTGTTTATCAAGGGTAAAAACATCTCAGTTCCAATTGGTGAAACTCTGGCTTTGGGAAACCTGCACCCTAGCTACTCCTTGTTCAAAATAATGGCACAAACCCTGATGCTCTGGATGCAAAAATCAAAAGCATCTGAAGGAGAACAGACCACCTCGTCGTCCAAAGTCTGTCCACTCTCTAGAGCATCCCCTGCTGGATTTTGCAATGAACATCTCTTGTGTCAAGCAATCTTGTTGGAATACTGTTCGTGAATGATTAGCTGCTAGGCCCAATTGTCTCTCATACTTTGCATATGTTGCTAGGAGAGGCTATTCCTTGCCAAGGGATATTATGCTTGGAAAGGTGGAGAAGGGTCAGCAAAAGAGAAGAAGACCCTCAATGAAATGGATTGACATAGTAACTGCAGCTGTGGGCTCAACTATGTCAGAGACAGGATGGCACAAGATAGGATAGGATTCAGGTCTGTAGTTCAAAGGGTCACTATGAGTTATACTCCACTCCACAGCATCTAGCAAGAATAGGCCTGTTGTTGTTGTTGTTGTTGTTACGTGCCGCTGAATTGCCGGTGAATCATAGCGATCCTATGTACAACAGCCCTAAACCCTTCTCTATTCTGTGCCAATTGTATTGTCTCTGATACACTTACCCTCACTACCCCAGTCACTGAATCAATCCATCTCACTGTGGGTCTTCCGCTCCTGCACTTTCCCTCCATTCTTCCAACCACGACATCCCTCTCCAAGGATTGGTCCCTCCTTGTAACATGTTCAAAATATGCCAGAATAAGCTTCAGAATCCTTGCCTCCAGTAGCAGCCTGTTTTCACCCTCTTCAGGATGAACTTGTTTTCCTAATAGTCCATGATATATTCAATACTCTTCTCCAGCACCAAAGCTCAAAGGCATCAATTCTCCTTCTCTCATCCCTTGTCGTTGTCCAGCTTTTCGATGCATAGCAATTGCAAAGATTGTATCAAGCCCACCTTACTCTCCAGACTGAGATTGTTTCTCTTCAGTACTTTGGAGAGGTCTCTGATAGCAGACTATCCCAGTGCAATTTGTCTTTTCCTGGCTGTTGGTACCAAGAGTGTTGTTTGCAGAGCCACGCAAATTGAAGCTCTTAACAGTCTCAATCTCTTCACCATCTATTATGATGCTGCCAAATAGCCCAGTGGTGAGAATCTTTGTTTTCTTAATGTTGAGCTTCAATCCATATTGAAGGCTGCAGACCTTGACCCTCTGCAGCAAGCGCTTCAGGTCTTCCTCAGCAGGCGGGGTTGTATCATCTGCATAATGCAGACTGTTGATGAATCTTCCTCCAATCCTGATGCTACGTTTCTCCTCATAGAAACTAGCCTGCCTGCTAAGCTATTTCACGTATAGATTGGAAAGATATGGAGATAGGACACATCCCTGGTGTACACCCTTGCCAATTTTGAACCATGCAGTGTTTCTTTGCTCTGTTCTGATGACTGCCTCCTGGTTCAAGTATAGGTTTCACATATAAGACTTATTGGAACATTAATGTTTTTTTTTTTATTGACTGTTAAGATTTTAAGTGCTTTACCTTGTGGATTGATTTTATGTGAAATTATAAATAGGCTTTAGGCCTTGTAGTCCCCCCAATAAAGCATGTGATTTGCAATTATAATACACCAGTATTCTGTGCTTGTGTCATAAGCCCAGGCGATCCAACCATGCACTTAGCAGACTTCTGTGTTTCTTTTGATCCATCAAAAGAAATATATAGAGCAATGACTACCTGATTATACATGCCACCAGATCTGGGGCACGAGACAGTTATTCCAATCCTATGAGTAAAGTAGAAGGATTTATAGTGTGGAAGCATGCAGATGTTTCTTAAAGGTGCGAATGGCACTCTAGCCTTAGCAATCGGGATTGAAAACATGTTCTTTGTATACGGTGCTTTTCTTCTTGTGAAAAGAGATTGGGGGGGGGGAAGAGGGGGGAAACACAGTAAGGAAGGAAAAGAGGAAATTGAAGTGAGAAAAAGGAAAGAGAAGGAAGAAGATGAAAGAGAGCAGCAGGGGGAGAAACATTTAAAGTTCAGAATTCAGTCAGTGAGTATATTTTATCTCATAATCTCAAATTACTAAGAAATAACTGCAGCAGCCAACAGATCCTGGTCAATGTAATGCTATGATTTTACAAACTGACTTTTCTAAGTAAAATGAGGGAGCCGGGACAGCAGTAATCAGTGCTCCTTCCTGCCTCTTCAATTTTTGTTTGCATATGTCTTAGAAGGGAAGACATCTATACAAGGGTCATTTCCAGCTCCCAGTGAAATAGCTTTGAGAGAGAGAGAGAGAGAGCGCAAAGATTAAGAGAGATGCTGAGAGAATTCTGAACCAGAGACACAAACCAAGGTGGATGATGTTGCTATAAATTGCATCCCAAAATTTGACTCAAGATAGTCATACGTGAATGACAGCTGTGGTTGTTCTTATTGTTAGGTTCCATCAAGTTGAGTGTGGCTCAGAACTACCATCATGCTCTACTGGGTGCCGTACTCGTCATCTCTGACACACTATAGCCCATTGCTGAAGTCACCATGTCAAGTCATCTCATTGGGGGTCTTCCTTTCGTTTGCTGACTCTTAATCTTTCCAAGCATGATGTCCCTTTCCAAGGAACAGCATTGCCAACTACATGTCCAAAGTATATGAGGTGAGGTTTTATTATATTTTCCTCCAAGGAGCACTCTGACTACACTCTTTCCCAAACATATCTGTTTGTTCTTTTGGCGGTCCATAGGATATTCCGTACTCTTCTCCATCATCACAAATCAAAGGCATCAATTCTTCTTTTGTCACCCTTATTCATTATCCAGCTCTCTGATGCATAGCACGTGATAGAGAAGACGGTGGCCTGAATCAGGCACAGATTAGTCTTCAAAATTACATTATTGCTCTTAAGCATTTTTAAGAGGGAGGTTCCTGACAGTAAACTTGCCCAAAGCAATACATTGCCTGATTTCCAGACTGCTGGTGTTAAGGGTGTTGATCATTATTATTATTATTATTGCCTCTTCATTCTATAACCCTTGCCATTCTGCAAAAGAGACTAATTCTGACCCAGGAGAGCTGATAAACAGGAAAGGAGGTTATTCCAGGCTTTGGTTTGTTGCTGTTATTTTCCCATTGACCAAATAAATGAACTTCCTCCTCAAAATGTCAAAAATTTTCAATTCAGGGGGATCATAAGAACATGCTTGGAGGACGCAAACAGGCTGTCCATGACTGGCATTCTCCAGCTGCCTGTGTCACCATACCACCATCTAGTAATGAAAACAGATGTCTGATGACTGGGCCATTTAGAGAGTAAGCGTTTATGAGTGAAGCAGACAGGTCTCTGAACCAAGCCCTCGATTCAACATCTGTCTCACACACCTGTGGCAGCAGCAACAACCTCATGTCACAATTCTATTTTCCTACTACACCCCCAGTCTTAGTCCACCACAATTCACTTGTCTCATGTTATAGGTGGAGAAATTGAGGCATGATTCTCCCAAGGTCACATGATAAAAATAACAACATCCTGGACAGAACCAAATGGATTACCTCCCAGATCCTACCTTACTGGTCGGTTGGTATCTTCTATTATGACACTGATTTTACAAGTTAGTGGGTCCTGAGTATTATTTGTCTGTAAAAGAAAAGTTGACTTCTGAGCTTACTTAAAAACCAAAGCAAAGGATTAGATGTGAGAGGGAGGGCGTCTGATGAATGAATGCAAATTCATAAGTTAACTTACTTAGAAAAGTCAGAGAGTGAGTGGGTTGTGGAAGGGTGTGTGTGTCTTTAAAAGATTCTCCACATCCCAGCTCACCTCCTCACAGCTTGTTCCTGGTTTCTTCAGTCCACACCAGCCTTTGGCCTGGGCACACTAATTTGTCCATTGGGAAGCCGATTTGTTGCCATGGAGCCCACATGCTGACTCTTTGGAGGTGAGGAGTGTAAAGGTGACTGTTTGTTTTTTCATTTCAAAGATCTGGCAAAAAGATAGGCTGTTGTCCTTCTTCTGGAAAAGCCTGATTGGTAGGATTCCTTTAAGGGCTCAGCCCCACAGCGTTTTACGCCATCCCCTCACCACTTTGAAAATTCAAAGCTTGCCGAGAACGTCCAGAGGCAAATCTGCAGGACTCCATCATTTCATACAAATGGCTAATCCTGGAGGTGGTGCTGTTTGCAATGGGAATCTTAACAATCACAAGAAACAGAGTGGAAACTGCAGGAAGAACGGGATCTCCAAAGAAGCTCAGGTAAGAGCCGTTCTCTGCCGTTTCACCTTACTCTGAATCGCCTGAACAAGTTGGTTCCCTTTGTGATGTTGAAGGAAATTGTTCTGATTTCAAGGACTTTTTAAATGGACTTTAAATTAGGAGAGTTTTATTGTTTTGGCTCTCTACTTCAGGCGATGTTAAAGGCTTGGCTACCAATAACGTTTAGGTACGGATTAAAAAGAACATGCCTTCTCAAGCCGGTGAAGAAAACACACAAACCCACATAGCTTTATACTGCCTAAAATTCTGTATTTTCTTGAACTTTTTCTTCCTCTCAAGGTATTTGTGGGAAGACCTGTGAAAGCTCAAACTCTTCAGCCAAATAGCTACAGCATGCCACTTTCGGCATACTTCAGAGGAGAAAGAGGATGGGAAAGGAAATTTGGCTGCGATGATGTGATATTGGTTGCATTTTCTGTTGGTACATGAGAAATGTTCTCCTGGGTGAGGCTGAATTCTCTTTGATGTTTAGTGGAGCAGTTTTATGGCTTACAATTTGACCGATTTTAAGTCAGTCTTTTCTTTGACATTGGAAATAGCAGACATTTGTTTCCAAGTCACTTCAGAAAACGGGATCTTTTCACTTGCTATTCACACAGGAGCCATCAGGTACTTAAAAAAAAAGTCTGCTTCTCTTAGGGCCGAGTTTGTGCATGATGTTAGGAGAGGTCAGTCCTTGGAGAAGGACATCATTCTTGGAAAGATGGAAGGTTGGTGAAGGTAGAGAAGACTTTCTATGAGCTGGATAGACACAGGGACTGTAACAATGGACTCAAGTACAGCAGAAATGATGAGGAAGGCACAAGATAGAAGAGGGTACAGGAGCATTCTTCAGAGGGTCACTACAAGTTGACTTGATGGCATCTAATAATGTCAGACAGAGTATTTGATAAGGCTGGACAAGAAAGGAACTCGAGATTACAGGTATGCAGCCTGGGTCTTGTGTAGTATACTTATGAAAAAGGCAGTGTTTAAATCTTGCCATTCTATTTCCCATTTTCCAATGAGCAGCAAGGATAAGCTTACCCTGCTCCAGGAGCTGACTAATAGGAGTTAGACAAACAGGTAGCTTCACTCTCGGGAAATGAGAAGCTGCTCCGGGAACTCCATGCAATCCTCCATCACTCATTGGCCCCAGGAAACCAACATCCACTCAGAGATGTCAGATTGTGCCAAGATCACAGGCCAGTTCTCTAGACAGTGAGTTAAGTTAATGTGCCTGCTTGGAAGAGGCAGGGAGCATTCTGGAGCCTGCATTTTTTGTGATTCCAGAAGTTCCAAAAAAAGAAAGAAAAATGCATGCACTTTTAATCCAAAGCTGTCCTGAGACAAGGAAGTATCTGCCAGAAACCTCCTATCTGGCCACTCCCAGCAGGAATGTGAAACCTGGTGCAAGGTGGAGAGAAAGCATTCAATTCTCATCATTTGCATGAGGACAGCCCCAGTCATATCCACCATCTATTAGTCAGTAAATTCAGGCGACAAGCACCACCCAAGATGCCTCTTGTCATTGAAGCACCTAGAAATCATTCATCGTTTGCCTGCTGGCCCCCTGAATCCTTCTGATTATCAGGGCTCCAATTTGATTCTTCAAAACTATTCTCTCTCTCTCTCTCTGTTTACTTTCTCTTGGCTTTACAAGCACATTTTAAATGCTAAGATTAGAAGCCATGGATACAGCCACTCCTAAATAAGGGGGAAGTCAGAATACTATTGCCTATTTTCTTCTTATTCAGTTACAACCATATTCATTTCTTTCGCATATTGAGGGAACCTATAAGACTCAGTTTACCAAAAGACTCCCTAGCAATAAAAAACCAAATATATAAAAATCACTGTAGGGCAGTTACTTTGAGAATCTCTTCCTTTTGTTCCAGCATAGCCTGGTTTCAACATTTTGGTGTCACAGAAAAGCCAATCAAGTTTGACGAGGGAGCCAGAACTTTTCCACTCTTGAAACTTCTCTTGAGTTCCTTTGTGGAGGGTGTGTTGGTTTGTTTTTTGGTGGTGGTGTGTTTTGTTTTTAACTTGACCTTTGTTACTTTCTCATTTTGTCCTCTTATTTTCATACACCCTGAGTGTGCACTAAAAACTTGGTTTCATTGCTGATTCAGTCCATCCCGTTGTCACTTTCAACGTGACGTTCTCTCTCTTATTTCTGATTGATAGGGTTGTGGTCAATAGCAGAACTGTACTGTTTTGAGCAATTTGCTTTCCTTTTCCTTAAGTATCTGAGAGACAGAAATATTATTAGTGTTTTAATCCATTACTTGGTATTTTCTATTAGCTTACTTGTCACATAATTACTTTAGAATGATAAGTCAATTGCTTTTTCTCTCTCAGTGTTTAGTCACAAAGTTTTATCAGAAAGGGCTCAACCTGGGGAGGTATATTTTATGTCTTTACCCCCAAAGATACAGTCTTTTAATGTAATGAAGTCTGTATTTTTATCTATTACATTGATGAGCTACAGAGTGAAAGGGAGCTCTTGTGGCCAAGTGGCTAGAAGCTGTGCTGCAGTCTTAAAGGCATGTGGTTTTGAATCCACCGGCTGCTCCATGAGAGAAGAGTGGGCATTCTCCTCCCATGTGGTCAACTGTCTCAGAAAACCTGCTGTAGGGTCAGCTGTGAGTCGGTTCCGATTCAATAGCATACAACAACAACAACAGAATGAAAGATAATTTGTGATCCCCACCCCCACCGCCTTCAATAATCCTTTCCTAGAAAAGAAAAGGATCCAGAACCTACTAGAGACTGCCTAACTCAGCATGTACTGGGTCTTGACTCTGAATACTGTAACATTATTAGATGCAGTGAAACCTGAGGAATTAGTTGCTTGTTTGATCTCTCGAATCCATTCATTCAGCATTACTTGTCAAGCGCCTTCTTCTGACAGATAAAGATAGTTGTTGTTATTGTTGTGTGCTGTTGAGTTGATACCATTTCACAACCAGCTCTCCAGTGGGGTTTTAAAGACTGTAATCCCACAGGAGGAGATTGCTCATCTCTTTCTTGTGAATTCAAACCACCTGCCTTTGGGTTGCCAACACAACACCTCATCCACTAGGCCCCCAGAGTCCCCTCTGTAAAGATAAGGAGTCTAACCTAGCTATTGGGAGACTCACTTACTCACTTACTGTTAGGAAACAGAACTGACTCATACCTGCTCCTCCAATAGGTTTTTAGAGATTGTGTATTGCACAAGAGGAGATTGCCCATCTTGTTCCCTCAGAATGTTGATGGATTTGAACCTTCAGGCTTCTGGTTGACAATTCAATGTCATACTGACTTAAAAGGATCACAGTAACATGAATACAGGAATAAGAACTACCAAACATTGGCATAATTTGTGATCAAGTAAGTATCACAGGGTGAGAAATTTGAAGATGAGAATGGAAAAGATGATGTATTGATAAAGTATAATGTTGTAATAAATGTAAGGACAAAGCTAGGCACTTGATTTTCTGTACATTTCCCCATAAAATGGTAGCAATATGTCCATTTACAGAAGGGGGGAAACCCCCCCCCCCGAGATTCAGGAATTTATGTAGAATTGTGCATTGTATAACTATTCTTTTCACACAATCCCACTTTTTGCCCCCAAAGCCAGTGTTCTTAGTAAAGCATGGATTGGGGTTAATAACTGATTATTTTACATAGAGGGGAAGATTTCAGGTGAGCCTTGAGGCATTTGAAATGGCAGAGAAATTTGAAATGGTGATAAATAAGGGCAAGAAAGGAGAGGAGTCAAAGATGGATGTAAAGAGTCAGCTCGCTCGTGGTAGGGCATGGAAAGGGTCCTTTGTATAAAAAAGGAGGGGGAAGTACAATGGTTGTGAGTCATAGCAAAGCACAAGTCATCTGAGAAACTTCTGTCAACTTAGTGAAGACCTTGTCTAGAGAGGGAGAAGGTGTGATAAGAGTAAAATGATGCTGGCCTCCATAGACACAGGGTAAAGAGAAAGCGCTCAGTGAGACGCCAGGCAGACCTTTCTAGCTCTATCCCCAGCTCACTTTCCTGTTTCCCCCACCTTTCTCGAAAGGGCTGCAATTTCCAGTCTGTCTTCTTTCCTCTGATTGTACAAACTTTGAGAGGGTTGATGATCTCAGCGCGCCTAGTCAGAGCCACCAGGCCTGCCCCTATCACAGTGTGGCTCACCTCTTCTGTGTGCTGATTGAACAATCTTGCCAATGATTTAGAGAGTGAATAAATGGGTAGAGTGTCTGGCACCACTTTTAATTGCTCTGACATGTCTGTTATCCTTCCTTTACCTCCCACCATCATTTTATAGCAACTTCTGTTGTGTGGGTCCCATTCTCTTTTTTAAAATTTTTTATTGGTTTCCAGACAAAATCTGTGCATGTTGTGTTTCATTCATGTGCATGGTGTTTCACACATTCCTTCATTCACAGTGTGTTTCATATGATCATTCATTATATTTTGTAAAACCAATAACCATTGATCTATGTCTCCTATTCCCTGTTCTTTCAGGTCTTCTTTGGATCTTCCCTAATTACTCCTTCCCCTCCCTCCACTCACTAAACTCTGCCATCCTGGTGATTATCCAACCCCTCCCCACACTCTGCCTTCTTGTGCCCCACTCCTTTCCCTTTTGGACTTTTATATACAGCTAGCTAATTATCCTTCTATTTTTACAATAATGGTCTTAGGCAGTATTTGTCCCTAGGAGACTGAATTAGTTCACTTAGAATAATGCTCTCTAGAGTTTCTCATGTTATATAGTATTTTATAAAATTGTTACTGCTTAGTGCTACATAGTATTCCGTTGTGTGAATGTATCATAATTTGTCAATCCATTTGTTTGTTGATGGCATTTAGGCTATTTCCATTTTCTTACTATTAGGATAGCATTACTATGAACATAGGTATAAAAATCTCTATTTATGTCTCAGTTTTATTTCCCTTATGGTGTATTCCTAGCAGTCGAATTCCTAACATGGTAAGATTTTTTAGATCT